TGAAAAGTCATTAAAAAAAACGAAAGAATGAGTGTTACCAACGAGGAGTTAAAAGCAGACTACCCTGAAGAAGTTTTTCCTCCATTGTCTACAAACTCAGGAAGATCAAAAATAAGTTATAATTACTTGGTTAAGTTAATGGTTAGCTTTGGGAAGATACATGTCTCTTGTAAATGTCTCTTACCACCACACATGCTTGTCTTTACTGATGGTTCTTGATAGCTTCCTGAAGGGAACACCTGTGAAGATATCTACCACTTTGAGACATGAAGTATGCAGTAATCTGAGTTTTGACTGTGTGGCTAATTTCAGGTTAATTTCATTCTAATTCACCCAGGAGAAATAAATGTTTTCTGACATGTGTTTTGTATCAGTGCTTGTGTTGGATTTTCTTTAAAAAAAAGTGAACTGTGTTTGCAAACTAATGGCTTATGTTATAATTGTTAGGAGGTTTTTGTGTTGGAGTCCAGATTACCTTCTGGATTCAAAAGGCCATCTCTGTCAGTGATCATGCTTTTCACCTCATTGGGATAGAGAAATCGGTAAACAGCTCTAAGTTCAGTACAGAAGGAGATGTATTGTTTTATTTTTGACTTAATGTGTTTTGTGGGAATGTAAAAAAAAAAAATAAAACCTTGTGCTCCATGTAGAAACTGTAAAGGTAGAAAACTCATCTACCAATCGCTGCTATGTAAGAGGCTTTGCATTATGTCTTTAGTAACCTCTGGACCTGGTGTGCAGTCTGAATTCTCAGAATGACTGCCTGCAGTCAAGAAAAGGAGTCCTGTTGCTTTGCCAAGGTTGTAGCTTGCCTTGTTGGGAACAGCTGTAATGAAACAAAGGGCTGTAAGGCCCTTGCTTAACACTTTCTAGTTCACCAAATATTCCAGCGAGCAGTGGTTTCATACGCAGGGCTTTATGGCTTTTTTTAATGTTTACACTTAGTGGTTGCTGAAGCTGTTAAATGGTTGGAGCTCAGCTTGCAGGTGGTCATTGCAGTTACATTGATGCCACTTTCACCATCCATTGATACCTGCTGCTAAGGTGTCCTTGGTAAGATTACTTCTTGAATTGTCGCTTTTTTAATGGTTTGTTTTGGCAACAATTTCATTGCACAGCATAAGTCAGTCCAGTAAGTCAGCATTCTTCAGCTAAACGTCTTTCTGACATAAAGCCACATAAGGATTGCATTTTTCTCTGTAGAATCTCCCTCAGCACAGTATTGTCAATTCCAGACTCTGCCATTTCCTTAGCAATTTTCCTGCTTGTCAATTCCTAAAGATTAGTCTTGGGTTTTTAAAAAATGTACAGAAAATCAAATTTACAGAAAATAAAAGATACTGTTTATTTTCTTAATATTAATTGCTAGCCGGGTGAATGACTGGTTACACTGACTAAACTACTCTGAGAAAATGGTAAAACAAGAAAAAAGAGGGTCAGAGTGTACCTTTGATAGCACACAGTCTTACATGCTCATGTGCTCTGAATTAAAAGTTTCATTTAAGAGGGGTAACTTTTGCATCCTGAAATGAAAATACTGTTTCCATATTTGTATGTTATCAAATAAAGCTTTGTCAAAATAGGAAAAGGAGGAATCTCTGTGGAGAGGTTATCCTGAACCAAAAGCTGGTTTTGAACATGTGATGTAAACTGCAGTGTGGCTGACAGATGAGCTTGAATATGAAAATGTTACAGTCGGTACTTTCTTTATAATGAACGAAATCAGAATTCTCTTTTCAAACTTTGAACTTCATTACAAAACCTTTACTTCCTTTCTCTCCATTACTCATGATTTTTCATCATTTTAAGTGTTTGCTATGTAGGATTTAATAAGCTTCTGTTGGTTATAAACCTACAAGAAGGCAGGAATATCTAGCAGGATGTTTTTAAACCAGTAAATTTGAGAGTCCTGCTTCTTTTGCTTTGAATTTTGGTTTTATGTTGTAAAGAATGATCAGGAAATCTCACGTATGGTACGTTTCAAAAAATCTGCAACGAAGTTATTAAAATAAGAAAAATGAATGCATGAATTATTTAAAATAGTTGGTGCAACTGTTCCTGTTAACTAATCCAGGCACTTGGAAGGCAATTACACTGAGCTTTGACAACATTGCCAACCCACTGCACGGTGCCTTATGCCAAAAGCTATTGTTGTTTTATTGACCACGTTCACCATTACATATGCATATGAAAAAACAGAGGCATTTTCATCGGATTACCCTAATAGCATTAAGAGATTATTTTTTAAATTTCCTTGGAAGGAAATTCACTTAAATGAGATTACTTATTACTTGACTGGTTTCCTATCATGCTGCTATGTTTAGGTAAGTGGAGTCCGTTAGAGTATAAAGTTTTTTTAAAACCTGATTTTATACATTAATGATTTCAAATAAAAGAGAAGTACTATATTTGTGCACAGTTGCTTTTGAGAAAGTTAAGTCGATGTTCTGGTTAGGAGAGATAACACTTTTTGTCCCTCTTGGTGGCCCCCCTAGTGTCACCATTAGTTGCTAATTACTTGCAAACAAATAAACAATTAACTCCTCGTGCCTCTTGGTGGGAGAGTTTTCATTGACATGCTAAAACTTTCTAATAAAAGATTTAATTAATGACGTTGCAAATCCAACCCCCTTGTCAACATAGTTATAAGGAGGACTTGTGGAGAAATGCACGTACATTATACATGCTGTGCTGGCTGAAGGTGAAAGCATGGCAAGTACATCGCTGTGTGCTGCTAATACTTCAGCGTCTCAGAATCTTCAGAAAGCGTCTGCTTTTGTAGAAAATAAAACCACACAGTGCTCATTTTCCATTGAAAGTATTTTGGGATTGGAGCAGAAAAAGGATGGCATTCCAACTGTGAAACCTCACAGACCGTGGATGGATGCATGCGCCAACTTGGGTAAGTCAGCAGCCTGTTTTATAACTTCTCAAGCCTTTACCCCTTTGAAAATGTATAGATTTTCTTGTTTCTACTGAGAACCAGTAAATTGAAGCTCCCGTTTGCTTGCTTTTTCTAGTTTTAGGTGATGACAGTAATCCCCATCTGCAAATCCCTGTTGTTTGCTATGAAAATCCATTATTTCATGCTAACAGTAATCCAGTGCAAGAGGAAAAAGTTTTGAAATGCGAAAAGTACATTTCAGTCACTGAAAGGCTTTCTTTCAAACGAGAATTGAGCTGGTACAGGGGTAGAAGACCAAGAACTGCGTTCACTAGAAACCAGGTAGGCATTTTCTCAGTATTTAATAAATGAATAACAATGTAGTTTATTAAAATGTTGGTGGAAGTCTATAATGGCTGATTAATGGAGTATGATGTACCTCTGCAGAGAGAAATGGCATGAGGAACTAGCGTAAATTAACAGTGATGCTGCTAATTTCAGCAGACCTGTGTTTACGCATGGAATCAAAATTGTACAAACATTGCTGGAAGTCTCCTGTTGAACAAACTAAACTGTTTTTTTTATTTATTTTCTTTATTACTGCTATGAAGGTAGTGATAACTATTCAACAAGTATGTTTTAATCTCCTTAGATTGAAGTCCTGGAAAATGTTTTTAAAATGAACTCCTACCCTGGCATTGATATTAGAGAAGAACTAGCTCGCAAATTAGATCTAGATGAAGATAGGATCCAGGTAATTAAAAATTTACTTGAACTTTTCTGTAATTCCATCTGTATGTACTCTCTGGTTATTTAAATAAGTAGTTTGACAACAGTAGCAATAATTTTAATAATTTAAACCAATGTACATTTATACATGTGGTATGCCTTCAATGATCTGTGAAATGAAAGCCATTGAATTCCTTCTGAAATCTTAAACCTTCTTCCATAGCACTGATGAAGTATTCATCACTATATTTCCATGATACCTACTCTGTTAATCTCTAGTTATCATGTGCAGAACTTGATCATTTGTGTCCACGTTTTAAAATCATATTTGTATTATGCTTGTCATAATTGAAAAACAAATTTGAAACAAACATTGAAATAATTTCTATTTATGTCTGAGTATTTTGGGAGACTGTCAGTAGAGCAATGTATGTTAAACCAATGTTTGAGTCTGTGTCTTCATCTGGCCAAAAGCCAAATCCACTGGGGAATTTTAATTGTCGATTTCCAGGTAGTCTGATGTGGTAACAAGCACACCATAAACATTAGAATTTGAGCCTCACCTTCATGTTTGTTAAGCTTTTGATGCAAATATTATATTGGGGTTGATGGGAAGCTTGATGCTGCAATTAATTAAGCAGCTGAAGAAATAATACCTTAAGAGTTCTATGTGAATTGCAGATGCTCAGGATCTTCCAGAGTCACTGAAGTTAATATTAGTTTTTATATTAATTACAGTGAAGCTGATCCTCACTTTCCAGATAAGCTGGGGGTATTACTTTCTTCACCTGTGGAGTTAAAATTATTGCAGGTAGCTATATGCCATCATCTGCAGATTTTAAATTAGTATCCAACTTCCAAACTACTGTCATTACAGAAAATACTGTAAAGCTGTGTGAACAGTTGTACGTTTCAAAGCTTATTCTGCTTAGTGCTGTATTTCTGAAAAGCATGCCTCTTCTTTCCGTTTTAGATCTGGTTCCAGAACCGTCGTGCAAAGCTGAAAAGATCACACCGAGAATCTCAGTTTCTAATGGTGAAAAATACTTTCACCTCCAGCCTGCTAGAGTAGAAAGAAGGATGGTTTGCTGTTATGGTACTACAACAGAACATGAAGAATTACTGGGATTTTCACAAATTGTAATTAATATATCATCATTACTTAATACCATTTTATCCCCAGGTTTGAAAGTTTATTATAATCTTAATTCAAATAAACTGTAAATACTTGAAGTATCAGTATAATCTACTTTCTGTGGGAAAAGTGAACTTTTCCTATGTATTTTAATAAGTATTTTCAGAAAAGTTTAGATATTTTTGCAGTTGAAAAAAAATAAAATCCCTGAGTTGCACAGGATTTTCAGCTAGTATGAATTATGGCAGCTTAACTGAAGACAACAAAGCTTCATGGTTTCAAAAAAAAAAGTCTGAAATACGCAATATGCACAATAGATTTTGCTACATGAAAAGGATTGTGCATTACACTGGAATTTAAATAGCTCATTCTATAGAGTATGATAATTTTAAGAAAACACAATTTTAAGGAAAAGATATTTCAAATGGAAGGGTTAGTATTCAACTGACTTTTTCAGTTTGAACAATTGTTTGGTTAAAAGAAAGTGAAAATTATAATCTTTTTTATATCATATTTTAATTAATTTAGTATATTTGCCAATTTAATACTTCAGCTCTTGTCAGCGTTAAGTGTCGCAGTTACACAATTTGCCCTATCATCTTTTAATGACAGAACGCAGCATTTCACAGGTTCAAATCAGTTGGGATCAGACCAGATATCCAGATCATTGCCGTTAATTTTAGGATGTTGAATTAATTTTTATTAAACAGAACATGAAAGTTAATTATCCTCATATCTGATATTCAGCCTGAAGTCAATGCGTATAAGGAGAGCCTTATACAAAACAAACAGCTCTTCATGGCCATGAGTAGGAAATCACTGTGAGTATGGCTTTACACTGCTCCTTGTCCAGCAGAGCTTTAAGCCCTGCTCGATGTGCTGGTGTCCTTCTCTGAGACTTCAGCCTGTGTTTCTTACTAGAGATATGTTCTACATGGGCCTAGCTGTAAATACAGAAAATCATTTCATGTGAGGCTGACTGACTTTAAATGATATTTCAATCTGTGAATCTGACAGAACCAGCAAATACCGAAGAATTTAGACATAAAAGCTTGCTTAATTGGGTTTTCATACTTGGTTAACTTGTAAATATAGTTTTGGTTCAAAATAAAACTTATTTTTCAGTAGACAAAAACCTGAACTGAATCATTTTATCTGATTTTAAGAAAAGAACGTAGGGAAAAATTCTGAAAACCAGTGAGAAATCATGTAAGTACTTAAGACATTCACATTAGTTTTATCTAATTCACAGTATAGATCTCAGACTAGCCATCCCACATGGAAAGAATGCCTAGCCACTGAGCTATGATATTGATTTCCAGATTTCTTGTGGAAGCAGTTTTGCTATATACAGAGTATTTTCAAATTCTTCCTCTAGTGAATATCAGCCAAAGTCTTCAATCTACATACCTTAGCCACCAGGCTGCTTCACAGTCTGACACTCAGCTTCCATGAAGTCAGTTAGGACACCAAGGACATAGAAGTCAGTATATCATTGTTAATACAGGCTAAATGTAAATAGCAAAAAAGTGGGGGAGAAAAAATCCATAGTTTCTTGTAGTATTTTAGTACTGCAGATACAGTTAGATTATTCTTCACTTGTTTAATAATAATAAAATGTCGAAAAGATTTTTTTTTTTTCTGGCATGTTACTTTCCAAGTAGTATAGTCTCTAGAAGAGAGAGGTGTTAAAATTTTAAAGATCTGTCTCTACTGCTTCCAGATGGTTTTTGATTTCTGTATCTCTTCTAACATACACTACTTTTCCCTTAGTTTGTGTTCCTTCTTAGGACATGTCTATACATTTCAGTTGTTATAACGGATGATTTAACGTAGCTTTGCTGGATGTTTGCAAAGTACTGTGAAATGCAGCTAGTTCAGCATTTTACAAGATGATGTTGTACCTGTTATGTCATGAACAAACCAAGTATTGCTCTTCCTTTCTCGATGCTTGTATCCATCATAGCTGCTGCCCTATAGAATGAAAGGTAAGTTTGAGAAAGAAGAAAGGTGATAGAAGTTAATTTTATCTAGTCTCATATTGGGAAAAGGTAAAGAACGATCATCTAACTTAAGTCCCTAGTTGACATTTTGGATGATAGGTTGAAATAGAAGAGTTGAAATAAAACCCATTTCTATATTTTTTGAAAAATATTGCTGAAAAGCTGCATTACTTTAGAACCAGACTACAGTTATTTGCCATTTTAAGTCTTTAACTTCATGGGCTCATTGCCATTGTTTTTATACAATCCCTGAAATCTCGATTTGTTTGACTTTGCTCCTGGAAATCCTGTTTTAGCGTGGAAATAACGAACTTTTATCCACTATTGAAATGTTAATTATTCATGCTCTGTTGGATTCAGGAAGTAACATTATTAACTGAACTTCTGTTGTATCTTGTATTCAAAAATACTGAAGAGAACATTAACAAGTAAAGCAATTTAAATGGAGCCAAATCCATTAGGAATAGTTTTTAGAGAAACTGGAATCTCAATTCAAATGCCTACCTGATTTGGTAAAGGTAAAGACCATATTGGGAATGCATGAATTCTATTTTGCTTTTCTTCTCACCTCAGAACATATATTGTCCATCGCTTAACCTTATTGCAGGTAATTTGAAACTATTGTCTACTTTAGTGCTGGAAACAAGCTTTAAACAGATTAAACTAATCTGTACAGATTGATGCCTAAGAACCTTACTCCATTATCTGGCAAATTCCTAAATACACCTAATGTTTCTTATAATGGAACTCTTCTCAAGTGACGGAAGTCTGACAGAGCAATTTAAGAGAAGGAGTAGAATAGTAGCAGAATAATAATAGCACCAGGCCTGGCAGCCAGCTCTCAATTAGCAAATGTTACCAGCAGGATGATTGGTGTAAGGTACTGAGAGTGTTACACATAGTGCTGAGGGGCAAAAAGTTTAATAGCATAATTGCATTATTTGCTTCATCTTGGTTGAACTTATTCTTCCCAAAATAAAAGTATCAACAAGTTAAAGGAGAACCCCTAACTTTACCTACTTTGACCAGCATAGGTTTAAATTGTGGCCATCACTCTCTCAAATGCAGCTGAATTTTTTTCCATCTTCAAAAATATTCTGGACTTCACAGGATTTTCTAATCTTGTACTTGCTGATGACAGGCAGCTTTCTGGGCTACCTTAGCAGTACACGTACTACGCTCTGGTACGTGTCTAGGCACAGCCAGTCCACATAATGGTAGCAAATGAGACTATGTCAGAACAGGCCACCATGCATGCCGAAACCTGGTCCCACTCCAGTTTTGCCTTGCAGTTTGTCTATCTACCCTGCAGAACTGGGATCAGAAAAGTCACAGTCGTCTTGGTTCCTGTTACGAGTTCAGCTTTGTGAAGCCACAACCTTCTTCCGGCCTTGTTGCCTGGCATTGGCTCCAGTGATCATTTGGCTCTGTGATAAGCTGGTAAATGTAGTTGGATGGTGAAAAACTGTTGTAGCAAAAAACCTGGCTAGTCGTAAGACTTCTCACTCCTACTGTGGGCAAGCTGTTATGTCAGCATCCATCAACAGCTACAGTTTAGGCTGGGGTCAGGTTGATAATGGGCTTCTGTTGTTGACTGTAATGGCACTTAAACGTTCTAGTAGTGCTTTCCTGAAATAGGTCCAGTGCCTGTGACCCTGATCAAGATGCTGGGCTGCATAATTATTTTATTTTAAATTGACTTTATTTTCTTAATTAGTGTCTCTATCTTTTTTTCCCTAACCACAAACTTCAGCAATGTCCAGTACTGTCCAGAAAAAGATGAACTGTGCTCATGGTCTAATGCAGAATCAAAATAACTTCTACCAAAGAACCAATGCTTTCAAAGTTCCATTGTAATATTATTACTTGCCCCATACATAAAAGCATAGTGTGGAACTTAGTCTGTAAATTATCAGTGTTAGCGTTGAAAGCCCACATTTAGAACACCATTCATTAAATTGTCATTTAACACTTTGAATTTGCAATTATTTAGTTTATCAAGTCTGTGCTTGCAAATAGCAAGCTAGCACACCAGCAGACTGTATGTTATAATTTTCCTGGTGTGCATGGGTACATCTAAATTTTTCTAGCTCAAAGTTTTGTATTGAAAATACTTCTAAAGTAACAAAAGCCAGGACTTTTTATAGGTGTATGTAAGAAGATCAGTGCTGTGTTCCTAACATTATTAAAAGAAAATGTGGCTTCAAAAATTATCCAGCATTTATGTGACTGGATTTAACAAAAGACTTGCAATAAAGGTAGCATAAATCATTTGCAGACACCTTCAGTTTACCTAACGTGAAATTAAGCTAATTTTAAACAGTTATGATTAACTCTCAAGGTTAACTAGTAATCACAAAATAAAGCTTTTTAGAAATGGGTTGTATAATAACTTTTGTTTTGATTCCTTGGATTGCCTTGGTTTCCCTAATAGTTTTTAGGTTTGGTGCTCTTTGTTCCTTCATTTTAAAGGACTTAATATTACATAATTGGATGGGAAATACAAGGTATTTTATTTTCAAAAATACTTTTGAGCAATGGTGATTGACCTAAAGTAACTTATTTCATTTTCTGCTCTTCATGCCATGGATTAATCTTCACTCAAAATCGTATTCTGTTCCTTTTTATTAGAGCTATTTAGAATATCTCATATAAGATAAAGCAGTAATGATCATTAGGTGAGGGAGAGCTGGGGCTGTTCAGCATCTTGTAGGTGGGGAAAGGCGGGGGGGAAGGATCCCATCTGATTGCATTACAAAGGAAGTTCACCCGGTCATAATGGGCAAACAGGATTGTTAATGAGGGAGAGGAATCTAGGGCTGTTGAAGAGCCATCAGTTCTAGATTCCGTTGTGGGGGAATAGTCCCTTTACTTGCAGGACATGACAAGGGTTAGACAGAAAATGTGGAAGACCAGTCTTTCTGTTTTGGGCACCCAAAGCCGATAGTGGCGTGGCCCAGCAATATTTTCTTAGACCAGATCAGGACAATCTCAAAGTACGAAGTGCTGTGTTAGCATGGCACAGTACAAACATGGCAGGTTTGCTTTTTTAGTTTGACTAGCAAAATAGAAAACTAATCATATTTGAGTTTGGAAGAAGCAATAAACTGAATTTCTTCTAGTATCTGTTTTTGCAGGACGTTTATTAGCAACGAGG